TCATTGTCTGAAACCCCGATTGGCAAACAACTTTGGACATTGGATATACTGAATTTGAATTGAGTGTAGTAGTGGCAATAAGGGCAGCAGCCAAATATTTCATATGGGGCTGTTGCTTATGCCATCATTTGAATCATGGGTGATCTTTTTAAGAACATTTGCAATGTCTGGAAGATTTTCTAAAACCAGTGCTTTGGTCTTAGCAAACTGCTCCTCATCAAAGTAATCAACGGTGCTCGCATCAGCAGCTTGATCGGCATCATCAGCCGACCTATCAGATTGCTTTGAATGATTTTCATTGTCATCGACAGTTTCTTTCACTTCATTTTCTAAGCCGATGTTAGTATTCCTCTCATCTTATTGGTAGCTATTTCTTAATATATTGTCTTATGCAGTAGTGGTGATATTTTTGTCATTGATAGCAGTGGAAAAATTTCCCCTCCCATCTCTAGTAGCAACAAGAATAATGTCAACAGCAGATAGTTTAGTTGGGTGGATCGCAGCAGAAATTTAATGTTGAAAAAGCAATTTGGGATTTATCAAAAGGCTTAGACGAACTGAGAAAAGAACAGCTCTTATAAAGATTGCCCACTCCGTACGCAGTTCTGCTCTTGTTTCAATCACCCAAAAACAAAGAATACTTGTATCACTTACTTTGGGCAGACTGAATAGTTTCCTAACGAAGGAATTATCACCACATCCGGCCACGTCAACACAGCTGCGCCTCATCATTTTCAACAGCATATGTTAATAAAAGTAGTCAACGCAGAACGATGTTTTGTGGAAATTAAATATTCCAAACACACCGCCCACATTACGATTTTATTTCGCAAATGATCGAACTTAAAATCAAATTGGTATTGTTCTAGCCTTCGCCTTGATTGTCTTTGCCAACGTTCAACTACCCCATTTTGAAATGACTTATACCGAACTGCCATTTAAATATTGATTCTTCCAGCTTGATAAAGGGCTCAAAACTGTTTGGATGGAATTTTAATGTCTTTTTTCGCACTATAAACCGTTTTACTCAATAATCGTTAGGTAGATTTAGTATCGTAAACCATCTTTCAAACAGCAAGTGATGGTGTAGCAAATCAAGCGGCAACATCTTAACCTGTGTAATCATCAACGACGGTTCCAATATAGCGACTGTAATCAGCAGCAACAACTTTCATGGGCCCAACAATCTCATTCTGAAGTACACGAAGAGTGGCAGTGGCTTCTCTTGTCAACCACTTATTAATTGTTGCGGGTTTTTCTCGTTTGTGAAAAGACTCACTTCTTGCACACCCACCAGGCGAGACGTCATTCATTTTGTTCATATCCCCGCAAAATCTCACTGAGAAGACCAAATGCTTCGTCCCAATTCCATTTGACTAACGCAACACCAGATGGGGCTCCGAGATTTAGGTCTAGGGCTGCGGCTGCAATCATAGCAGCTAATTCACCATTCAAGTAAACACAATCACCTTTAAAAGAGAGGCAGCCTCCTTTATTTGTAGCAGCAGAACTTAAAACCAAATCCACACTATGAAGAAGATGCGGATCGTTTACTATTGAACTACTATCTGGAAGTATGACATGATGAACATGTTGGTCTTCAATGATAGTCTCACCAATACCATCAAATTGATCTCAATAATAAAGTAATTCGGTTAAAAAAAGACGGTTGGCACAAATATGTGGCGAAGCATTAAATCAAGAGCGGTCTCATCTGAAGATAACATCAGCTTGCTAGTTATTTTGACCAACTAAACCAATGGCCTGCAATGGAATATGGCGGGATGCCGAACCATTACAGCAGCAGAAGCATCGGCCGGCGTCGATGATGATGCAGGAACTGCCCTTGGAACAAAATACTCAGTAAAGAAAATTTTGTTTGTTGATATTGATTCCTTGGCATTCCATTCCGCTTGGAGTTTTGGAATAGTACACTAGCATCAGGTACTCATTCTGTTGAGCCAGGGCTACCGGCAAACGAATCATCGCCAAGATAATTAGCTAAAACATTTGCATCCAACTACTAAATTTCGGGGGGGCTTGTAAATTGAGCAACAGGTTTTCTAGGGTACGGGGTGCTCGAAGCGAAACAGCAGAGAAATAACCGCTACTTGATTATTATTGTAGACTTTCAGAGTATTCCGATGCAGTTCTTTCAATAATTAATTGCAATCTCTCCTATTGGATTTCTGCTCCGCTGCCGACCACAAATATCTGACCTGGTAATAGTAACGGCAGCTTCAACACCAGTAGTATCACAATGCCTATCGCCGTGAAGCCGTAGTCCACGGCCATTTCACCGATCGTTTTCAACTTTTCCATTTACCGCGGAAGCATTCCTCCAGTGACCAACGTATGGAAATTAAAATTTCAAGCAACCTCAACTTTGTCTGAATCACCATCAACAATAGAAGTAACATCTAAATTGATTAATCCTTGAACCATCAAACCAAGCTGACCAGCTTTATGATACCACACCCAAGCCTAAATAGTAAACCTAACAGCATCAAATAGTTTCTGCCATTCCTGCCTGCGACCAATCGCAATTTTACTCATAACTTGCTATACCGATTCTATGAAAATCTAATGATGTAAAAATCAATGCAATCATAAAGAGCGTAGAACGGATCGCCGGCTCTTCGAATAGCGAAATAGGTTAAATCTTGATGTGTCATATGGGCACACCGGTAACAGACTCTGACAGAAAGAAAGTAGAAATCCGCACGTTTCACAACAGATTCCTCTATCTTAGTAACCGGACTTCAGCCAATTGGCTCCATGAAGTCAAAGTTTTTGGAAAACCTCCAAAAGACCGATACCGATAGCCAAAGGTCACCACCTGCGAGGATGGAACATAATCTTCAAGCATCCGCTCACAAGCACAGTGAAATGAGCGTCAACAATATCACCAGGCCTGTTCGTTAAATGGTCTGATCGTTCAATTGCAAAAGCGCATTTGTCCCGACCGCTTTTCCTGCTTCAATCGTGAACTCCTATATAAAATGACTTGCCATGCAGAAATAGGCCAATGCCATAGTCAAAAAATTGAACAAGTTAAATATGAAAGGAACTACTGTATGAGTCGAACTTAATCATTTTGTATATAAGAAGGAGAATGACTTAAATAATCGCAACGCAATCTGTAAAAAAATAGTACTACTTTTCTCAGTCAAACAATTGTATACTATGCTGCTCCATGCGCCATAAGGAAGCGGACAAACAATACTTATTGGAGAAAGCAAAAACCATGGAAACAACAAACGCAATACTAACAACTATTGCATCATCCGAGCTATTGATTGAAATATGTGAACACTGAAACGCAAACAGCCTAAGTAACCAGATCAGTAACATTACTTTAGTATCATCTCCTGCCGGAGTGAAAGCAACATTGCAGAACTTTTTCAAGAACTGATTCCTGATTGAAAAACTCTTGAAGGAAATGTCAAAGGTAGGATGGAAACCAACTTGATAGCAAATTTGTCATCCAAATACATAATTGATTTATTATCATTTGCATCGATAGATTTCAAGAAGTGCAATAGGAACAGAAATTATTTCACCAATTCACTGAAGGAAATGTTTTCAGTATCAGTCGTCAGCAGGGCCACCGATGCCTGCTTTGTTCAGTTCCAAGTAACTGGCTTCTATTTGATTAGCAAAATATATCTAAAAACTGATTTTCGATTACTAACCTCCAGAGCACAATCACTGTCAGAGTATGCATCTAGCTTAGCCTAAAACCCAGCTTTGTAATGCGTAGAAAACGGGTTTGAGTTTGATTATCTCAACATTCTTTTAGCGCAACTTAGATGGATACTTTTTAGAGAACCAAGAGATCGACTGTTTAACACAGCAGCAAAATCTAAATCAAATGGTAAGCAATTTGCAGCGAAAAGAAACGATGAAAAAATTCATATTTAAAAGGTTCGCTCTTCCGCTCCTAACTCAAAGCCGTCTGCTTCAAGCAAGATAAAATATGGGCTGATCCATATTTGTGCGGCCAGTAGATGACCCTCATCCACTTTTACCACTTAGCTATTAGTCAGACGTAGCACTCCATAGATTCGCAAATAACTTCCTTACTATATCAATATCAAGTCCAAAACCCCACCACCGAAGTACTCGAAGATCTTTCACTTTGAACAACGAGGTGGGATATGATTCGACCAGTTGGACCGTTCCAACTAATGGTCCACCAGTAATAAATTCATCAAGATATAAAACTAGCAAAGAGTTCTGTTAGTTGTTTGAAAAAACCCGCACACGACGCTCAGCTAAAGACCATGAAAAACAATGAATTGGCAAGCATACACCTTCGTCTTCAACACCCATATAGGAGACTTTTTCCGTCCATAGAATTATTTTGCTAACCTCCAAATTTTCACAGAATATTCAGCATTGACATATGAAGGAGGATGTTTATTGAATTTTCAGCAACGATAACACCGTGGAACACTGTTGTTCTCACATTCATTTCAAGACCCTTAAATGACTGCGATCTTGCAACAGCAGGAATGACTGAAGCACTTTGATATCCAATTACTGGACTAATTGTCTGCAGATAATAAATATGTTCAAACAGAAAATAATCAATTGCAACTGGTCTGGCTGTTGAAATATCACCCGCTGCTGCTCACCTGCTTGGAAACACCGAAGGACCGTCGATTGAGCTGGTTCACGTAGGGAGATGGACCAAAGTGTAAGTAGCAATGCCAGGCATCGCATGAAGACATAATCAATTACCCGTCGCTACACAATAGGTCAAAAAATCAAGTTGGATCGTAGTAGCGGCAATGAGGCAGCAGCCAAATAAGTCCCAGGAGGCCCGTCTATAGTGGAAATCTCTGAATCATTTGTTAACCAAGAAATTTTTTTTTGAGCGTCATCAACATCACTTTGAGAAACTTTATTTTTTGCGGCAAGTTGGTCTATATCGGATTGACCATTAGGTTTTTAACGACAACCTCATCAGAATCTTCAGAGAAAACTGGATTAATTCAACAACCTTTTTTTTCATTGGCAACTGTTTTCACGTCATCATTTTGAACTAATGGAAAACACTTAGCATCATGATTGGAGTTCCTTTTAGAGCTATAGTCTGAAGTAGTTGCAAAAATGTAATTTTCACCATTTGTAGTAGTGGTCTTATTATCCGTCTCTCATTTGACCAGCAGCAATAGGGGTTACCCTACCGGCAGATGGAGGTGTGAGCTCCAATGCCGCTAACGATGGATCTTTAATAGAAAATTTGCTTTTATCAAAGCAAGAAGAACGTCTACCATCAACACAGCTGGTAAGATAGTCCTTTAAATGGAAGGTCTTTCTAAGCATTTCGTAGCGAGCAGAAGCCCTGAGAACACTTGTATCACCAAGCTTGGTTTGCCTGATTGGTTTGAATATCAATGCATACGCGGCGCATCCAAACCAATCCAACAACGCAGCAGCTGATCATTTTTGTACAGTAAGTGAGAAAGCGTAATCAAAAGTGTCGCACGTTTCGTGAGAATGGCATTTGGTAAAAGCACTACGAACACCACAGACTCATTGCACATCAAATCAGAAGCACTTGCTTTAACTGAGACTTCGGTGGTTTGTGTCATGATTGATTTGTGCCAACTTTTAGCGACGCCATTTTGATGAGCCTCATAAGCAACTGTCATTTTATGTTTGATTTCTTCAGAATGACAAATTCGTTTGATAATGTTGGATGCAAACCTGTTTCTGATTTGACTGATTGAACCGTTTATCCGATAATCGTTTTGAAAATTCAATATAGTATAACATTCGAGCAAAAGCTAATGATCATGTTGCATTCGTAGCAACAACATCATACTTTGATTAATCATCAGCAACTGTCTATGACTGACGAGTCTCTTCAACTCCACAGTTGGCCTGATCCCAACAATTTCAACAAAAAGAATTGCAAAGGGTGCGGTGGCCTGTCGTGCAGACGACCTATTTATAGTTTGCGTCGCATTTGGTTTGAGAGATGAGTCATACATAGAATCATCAACAGCAGAAATACAATTGATGTTAACTGAGTTTTTTGAAACAGGCCCTCCTCAATAATTTGATCCGCGAACCATTTCGTACTGATTTACTCAACAGCAGATGGTGGAACAAGACAATTATATAATCTTCAAGGTGCTAACTGAGCAGATGATGTACCTTTCAAATAATAAAAATAAAGTTTGAATCAAAGACACTGCAGCTTATCTGTGGAAGCTGTTATTAAAATTAAAAGTGGAATATTGGCAGCCCAGAAAATTTTTTATAACTATCCACAACTGACAAACAACACCGTAACGATTCATTGGACAGCAGTGACAGATTTCCCAATATCTGCCCTTTGACCTCAATAATGAGCCATCTCGATGACCAATCAGCGTTGGCGCTCATATGTTTGCAAGCATCAATATCAAGGTAGACCCGTTTATAGTCAATATCAGCTCGCTAGATAGTATCAACAATCAGAGAAATAGCAGCAGATCCTGTTTGAAGCCATTTCAGAGCTGCCACATCAACAAATGCTTCTGCTAGAATTGATGAACCTGCAGAAACGCGCCGTGGTCCCAATCATTCAATAGCCAAAAGTCCAGTTGCTAAAACAGCACCGTCTGAATCATTTTAATTTTGCCTTCTTCATGGTTGGAAAACAGCAGAAGCTAATGTTGTTGAACCTGCGGTTTTAGCAAAAGCATCATTACCAAATCGATAAGCAAATATTGTGCGTCAGTAAATGTAAATCTGCGATGGTCTGTGAATTATTAAAAAAAAAATTCAGCGGAGATGGTGTAAGAAAAAGAAGCAGCATAGAAAATAGCGGTTACCTGTTCAACATTGAAGACCTGCAAAATATTGCAATACAATTCATTAATGAGTTGGTTATAATTTTTCCTATTAGTAAAAATATTTGGCTATTTACACCAAAATACCTGAGCAGCTCATAATAATGACAGCCTCAACACCAACCATACCATAAATTTGATCCAAGTCAACAAACACTACTATTCCACAAATCCTTTTCTATAGCACCTCGTCCAATACATCAGAGGCAAATCCTTCACTTTACATCGTATGGCAAACGGAATCAAATGCAACGTGAACAGCGTTGAGATTCAAAACCAAATCCCAAATAATAAAATAGGCCACATTCATCAGTTTCTTTCATTCATGCAGCAAACATTCTCAATTTGGCTCATAATATGTTGTAGACAATCCTTGATAATATATTAAGGTAAAGCAGTATACAAAATGAATATCTGAAAAGGAGATCGCGAGCCAAATTTACATGAAGTGAGTTAAGTCATAGAGCGTCAGGTAAGCAGGCCGGCCACAGACACGGAACAGCCAAATATATTCATGCAGGGAGGTCTCAACATTTCTGGAGTTTCAATGCTGCACAGTTTAGTCCGTTGGTTTGAGCCTTCAGCAGAAAAAGTGTTACTCCTGCTGCTGCTGTTGATTCAGAAATAATTAAAGCCAAAGTGGATTCCATTTGCCTTGCTTTAGTCAGTGGGGGATTCAATTTCGCTCGATTGAAGAAGTTCCTTACAACAATGATGCGGCCGATAACTGTCAGTTTGCTTTCATCAACTTTATGCCACTATTGGTGGTGCAACCACTATGATTATGGCCAGTCCACAAACATCAGGTAAGTGGCCAAATACAACATCTAATATGAGTGAACAAATTATGGTTTTCAGTAAATTTAATTGCAATTGCCTTAAGGGCTTCGACGCTCATCAAGCAACCGCTAATTTCTATTGCCCTTCTGTTTCTCACGGTGCCTAACCTGATAGTGCTTTTACCCAATTCACGCATCCTCATAACATTAATTTACCAATGCAACGATTTCGGCAAAGCAATGCGGGAACAATGTTTCTGCTGCTAACTCAGGTTCAACAGCAATAGCCTCTGATGGGTAGAATCCAATGGAGAAACCAAAATGGAACAGATTTACAACGTATTTTATAGCGAAAAAAGACAATTGGATAGTGAATGTTTAGAACTACGGCCAGCTTCTGCTGAATCATCAGTCCAAGGCGATTTTTCTGCTGCTGCGGCTCCTTTCGAAGCCCGAAAGCTCATCAGTCGCTCTTTCTTTCCTCCTCGAAAGAAACGGGAAACCTCTTGTTGAATTCGAAACGGTTCAGTTTTGACTCTAGAGCTTCCGAAACATTTTTGTGTTAACGGTGGATGGATCAGCGACTTTACTCCTCTCTCAGGATGGATTGCTCGTACCGGCGACACTATCGTTGAAGTCAAAGGTATTGGCAGTGCGACGTTTCGGAATGGTGAATCATGTGTTAATAGTTGTTATTCTACTAACAGTACAAATTTACTTTCAGTCTCAGCTGCTGCAAATAGTGCCTCCTGCTTTTCAATTAATGATGCATTTCTTTATTGGAATGCTGAAGTAGCTAGTACCACAGCAACTTCAGAGTTTTAAGAAGGTCTCGTTGGTTCCTCCGCTATTGGATTAATCAATACATCTTTTCCTCATCGTTCAAGTCATCCAGGCAAGAGTGTGGCAAAGGATATAGAGAAAAGTATTGCATATTTGCCTCTGGTCGTTTACAATGTGGGTCAACTCAATAGTAATACCCTATCCAAGTTATTAATATCTGGTCCACAATTCAGTCCACCGGTACTCTCGGTATTACAAATCATAACATCACTGGACCGATGCCTTCTGTTGCTGTTGATGGGAGTCGTTTTTAACTCACAATTGTTGTTCATAAATCAAAACAAGTCGTGGTTGGTAGATCGCTACAAAATCATTAACTGTTGCTACGCTGGTGTATTATATTAAATTAACGCCACGATTATTGGATTAAACGGTTGAAATAGTTAGATTTCATTCGACTTTGCGTCGAAGCTTGTCAAAGATTTTTCTGAATCTGAAGAAATCGAACATGAAATATCTGTTTTTGATGAGCTTCATCAATACCAATCAGCTCAAGGTTGACGGAGAGCAATGTTGGAAAAAACCAAGGCAATGAAAATTGAAGTTAATGTTCCTGATTTGCTCTGAAATGAAAGTTTGATATGTCCTGTCCTTCGATAAAATTGATTCCCACCAAGCCATGGCGGTCCGTCGACCGCACCGTTTCAATTATTTAATTGCAGCAAATCATCTGCGGCTACGTTGAACATCATTCGAAATACTGGATATGCCAAGATTCGCCAACTACCCAGCTAATCATTGGAAAGAGACTCAAATGTCCGACTTGTTTCTCTTGCTTACGACATGGCTGGCAAGATGTGCGGAGGGTATAATTGTCTTAACAGCTGTGATGTTCTTCGTGCTGGTTGTCACATTCGTCGTTCCCAATATCTTTTTAATGATAAATGCTTTGCTGCCTTTAAAGTTAAAAATCCACTTCCCGTTGCAGCTACACCTTTCGCTGCTGCTTTTTCAAAATAACATATCATTACTACTATCAATAACAAAGATTCCGCGGTCGCAATTATTTCAAACGTAACATAAAAAAATAGCTCTAATGACGATAATAAGAATATTGTCATCAACTCAGATGATACAAAAAGGAGTGTCAAGAGAATAAATTGCAATGAAAAAAATATGTTTTAACCACTGATGATACTGACCAACCTGCTGATGCTCACACCGGTGCTAAATCTGATGTCGATTAAGGAGGAGAAATCAAATAAAGCTAGTCAGGCCAATGTTAATGGCATCACAAATAAAGTATAATGGATTGCAAATCATTGAAACAACGTTATTGAAGAGACTTCTCCTCTATCACGTACCGCCACGGCCAAGATTGTCTCATCTGTTAAACCAAGTCTGGCAGATTCAATATAATAAGTTGCTTCTCGATGAGAGCTTCAGCCAATCCTGGAGAACACTAATTACCTATTCGATAACCTTTGTTCGGCAAAATTACCTGCTGGCTGCTGCTGGATGTTTACAATTAAGTACGCTCCAATTGGCAATTTTTCAAAAGCCACACTAACCGCTCAACACTTTTCTCACCTCAATGTATTGATTATACTGAGACAATTAATTTTGTAAGTAGGTATGAATATGTTAGAATCTTTGCGGCTGTTGCAGTATCAAAGCCATTTACGGCCCATCAAATCGTTGAGACAACACCATTTCTTCATTTTGATTTTGATGATGAACCAAACGTCAAATAACAGCTTGGATTTGCTAATGCTGAATATCCTCTTAATGTTTGGAAGTTCTGCAAATTTACTTATGGACCCACACAATCTACATATTATTAATACAACAGGCTGCATGTAGCTCGGTAGTTGCTTGGGCTTCAAATTGCTGCAGCACAACATGCTGCGTTGTACCTCTCAACAAACAAAACCCACACCATGGTTGGAATATACCTCGATGATCATATTATTGCCTGATCACCACATTCAGTAGTCAACATGATCAAATCAGATGTCAATTCATTGATGAAAGACGAAAATTTTAGGGTAATTTTCCGTCGTTTCCAGCATGTTGGAAATGATTTAAATCACCAAAATAACTTGGTATCTATTGCGAGCTCCTTGCGAATGGCGGCCCCACAAATGTACATCAGTGATCTTTCTTTGCTGGATAGACCAATGAGGATTTACCCACAGAATGTGCTGCTTAAAAGAGATTGCTTTCTGTTGGATCTTGAACAACTATCAG